ATTTCAAATTATATAACTGCATTATTAGATCAATTTTAAAAAAGGTTCCAAGATCTAAGAAAAATCAAAATATGTTTGCTTCTTGTAGAAAATCCGTGGCATCTAGAAACAACAACTATTTCAGAGCTAGCATCAGTTTTAAATTGTAATTATTCCAAAGTTGTTCGATGAGTTCCTCGATTTTGAAAACGACACCAACCTAGAAGTCCTGTTTAAAGAAAAAGTGGAAAAAAGGAAATATGTGGAATTTTGGAGAATTGTTCCCCAAAAATATGAAAGCGTCCAAAGAAGTGCCCAAATTTCATTAACATTTTTTGTGTCTACATTCGTGTGTGAATCGTCTTTTTTGAAAATGAAATACACAAAGAAACAAACTTACAGACTCTCATCTGGATGATGTATCTACCTAATAAGGTAAGCATGCAGCAACAAGCCAGATCTTGACAAAGTTTTGAAAAAGTGTTCACAGTAACAAAAATCTCATTAAAATAAGATGGTTTCATACAAAACATCTTTGTTAAAATCTGAAGTCATTGTTAGTTCTTTCAAAATTTGGTCTACATCGCATGTGGATTCATGGTAACCTTATATTAAAAAGATTACCAGATCATGTATTGTATAGCTGGCTTTATTGTGACCACCTTTTCTTTTTTTAATAAATACATCGCCAATTAAAGAAAAAAAGGTTGAGTATGGCTGCTATAAACAGACTTCATGTATTCCGTTCTGCAAGGTGTGTCAGTGTCACATCGAGTTTTTATTAGATGTTTGAGATGAAGAAGTGAAATACCAAAAAATGTTTCGTATAATAGTTTGAGGTATAAATGGATTGGACTTTTGAAAAATGATTTTCAATATAAGGGATACTCAGTAGAAGCGTAGCGTATCAAAGTTGAATGATTAAAATGAAATGACTTATACTTCTATCCACATTAGGATTCCGTCAGAAAACACCTATTGCAAAAAAATAGAATTTTATGAGTATACACCGAGCGTTTCAAAGGTTATGCCAAACATAATGACAAAAATTTTATCAATTCAACTGTCCCTATTTTCTATGAAAACTCATTAGCAGAGTCTGTTTTGTATCGGAGCGCCAATTAATTTTTATTGTTGTATTTATTTTATTTTTAAAGTCTTGAATATACAATATTTATTTTGACAACATTTTCATTAAATACTGAATGGGAAAATTTGGCCGAGGTGTCTATCAAGGTAATTTACTACTGACTGTTGCATATCGCGTAGGTGGGCGTCGTCAAAATGTGTTTTTACTAAGAAATTAGCTTTTTTCATTGGTTCAGAAATTATGTTATCGTTAATCACTAGGTGACGATCGGTGTTTTATTTCTGTCTTGTTAGTTCAGTCCCTATAGTCTAGTTGGTTTGTTTCCTTTCTCAACATTTTCTGAATGAACCTGTTAATGATATGTGTGCATGCGTTTTGACAATTTCACTCACTTTTCAATAGCGAATCTCTAGTGTGTACGAATATTCTGTAAATGTTTCCTTTACTGCGGATTATTGAGGCTCAATGGCGTGGAAGTTGTATTTGATCTAGTCTTCTGATCGTTATTGGAGTAGCCGCATTGTTTGCTTCATTAGAAAATTCTTGAATTTTGTTACTTCATATGTCAATTTGTTTGGTGATATTCTGGGGAGGTATTTCTGGAAGAATTTCATATCAGTGAAATTATGGTTTCTACACTACAGGAGATGCTCTCGGAATATGGGGGATATGGGTATTCAGATCGGCTTTTAGAAGAAGAGGCCTCATCATGAACAACATCCGCTAAGTTCTCCGAACAAAATGCTCTCGATGATCGAAGCCCCCTGGTAACTCAAAAAGGTTGGGGTTGGAGTTTGTCTCACACAATTTGGTATCTTTGGCGTTGAAATCTTTCAGAAGGACTGTTTTAATAAAGTATCTGAAAGATTTTTTATTTTACAGAAGAGTGTGTATTCAATTATAAACACATTTTTGGCCCTTCATTCCTACCAGCTATTTTATATTGACTGGGATTGATGAACTGTTCCTGGAGAGATTCATCAATTAGTCAAGTGTTAACAAATTATTGAAAATAATTTGATGCTCTTGTATAAATAACGAAATAAGACCAATATATTGAACCAAAATATTCAAAGTATTTTTCACTTTCTAACATTATCAGGAACGTAATTGTCTTTTCCTGGAATTCCCGAACCGCTGGCGTCGTCTAACCAAGGATATTGTTTAGGGCATTCATTGCAAGTTTCCAGATAACGCGTGTCGGTAAAATTCCATTCCGGTCGCTTAAAACTCAAAGCACATTTGTTGGGCAAATTGCAAGGTTTGGGTGGTAGGTTTTCCTTTTTGCAGTCCCAAGGTTCGTATTTGTTGAGTTCACTCACTGTTTTCGGGTCTGTGATCCATGTCAAAGCTTGGGTGATAGTGACAAACCAAACGTCATCTCTGTAACAGACAGTTGAAAAAATGGGTCTGACATACTAACAGATCGAGTTAAAAAAATTGTGAAAAATAGCATTTTACTGAAGGGTTATAAGTTTCAATGGTGACAATATTTAACACTTACAAAGTTTGGACCCAATTCAAAAATTTATGTAGGCCTTGTTCTAATTCCTTGATGGAGAACCAGTTGGTATGAAAAGGCATCATGTATGGTGCTCTGTTCTGATCGTAGTATCTCAAAAAATCTTCCTGTAGCCATTCAAAGACATCGTCACCATCGTGGTTATGCAAAACACATTGGTCCAAGTAAGGGCAGTGACCTCCCTCAAACCCTTCCACATAATGGGTGTTCAGAGGAACTTCCCAAACGCCTATAAAATAACCACAAAAATAAAATAATGACGTTGACACACAATACTTCAAATTGAAACTAGTATAAGTGTGCTTGAACTTAACTGGATGAATGTGATGAACTTGAATGTATGTTAAACGAAATTAAAATAATTTACCAGGAAATGACTTGGTGGGACATGTTCCAGATTTACACTCGTGTGGAATTTTATAATCTAGAGTGTACGGCCAAACTGGAATGGGTAAAGCGGGTACTCCTATTGAGCTGTCGTAAATATATCCAAATTCTTCTAGAACCTTAAAAATTTAAATTTCTAAAATATTAGAGAAACAATTTTTGACCAACTTAAGGATTCAATTCAGTCAATGACCTCTTATCTTAATAATATTTTCCAGTCTGCACCGATATCCCTAAAAATTTAGGTTTAGGTTTTATTTACCCTCTGCTTTAACGTTTTCACTATACCGGAAATTGCCTTCACTCTGAGGGTGGATGCCTTCCCTCCTTGGGGGTACAAAAAGTTTCATTGAAAATAAGTACGGGTTAGGATAGATTGATTAATTCTAATTAACTTTTGTCAAATTATGTTTTTTCCTGAAAGTCAATATCTTTCAACTTCGAGATTTTTCAAAAAATCGTTTTCACGTGGGTTTCTGCGTATTTAATGAAAATAATTGTCAGTAACAATATGGCTCATAAAAAAAACTTGAAGAATGGTGGTTTATGGTGTCTGTAAACCTAATACAAACGAAGAAATATATTGTTGAAGGATGGTTTTTATTCGTCAAATACCAAAATTGAAAGTTTCAAGGTAAAATAACATAAAAACAATGCATTTTTGAGCAAACCCTCAGTATCTTTTTTTGGAATGCATAAAAATACCTTCATTTTCAATCTTCCATTGGAGTCTCAAGCATCAAAACTATGCGAATTATGACAGAAATAATTTTCGTCTGTTTTTGTGAAAATCGCCTCTCAATCACCACCCAAATTGAAAATTATTGTTACCACTGCATAATTCATTTTATATTCATGTACTTGTAAAATGTTCCAGAAGTTTGACTGGTTCAAAATGATAAGTTTTGCAAAAAAAAATATAGCTATGATGTGTATTCATCAATGCTGCAATGAATAGTTTTTGAATTATTTTGAAAAAAATATAGTTTTTTGCAAAACTAAGAACTTTAATCCGGTAAAACTTCTAGAGTGTACAAGTACACAAATAAAGTGAATTGTGAGGTGATAATTGTAATTCTGGTCATTGGGGGTTATTGTTCCCACATTTTTGCTGTCGAAAAAATAGGAACCCACCATTATTTTCGCCATAACTCGCTTAGTTTTGGTGCTAGAGGCTTTCAAGTATTTCATAAAGTTTTTTGAGTTTCCCCAGAAAAATTCGTTGCTTTTTTGGTTACTTCACGTTGAAACTTTCAGTTTTAGCATTTGACCAATAAAGACCAACTTAATACTTCGTATGTATTGAGTCTAAAGATATCATACATAAACCAAATTTTTTTAGGCTATAAAATACTTACTTTTGTGTTATTCGCGAAAAACTGTCCAAAAACGTGTTTTTTGCTTGAAAAATTTACACATTCATGTCAATCTACCAATTTCAACATTAATTTCCAATGGAAATTTTTTCACCTCTCCGAGAACCGGTGGCATTCACCCCTTGGGTAAAAGCAACTCCCGGTACAAGGTCAACTTTTAAGTAAAGAGTGAGTAGAACCAGAATCCAATTTATGGACAGATCGGTGCTGTTTGGCAAATTATACAATAACGCTCTATTTTACCTTCAATGAATACACTAAGGGTGCGAGTTTATTGTCAACTTCTTTCAAAAGTAAGATTGGATTCTCACCTTATATTGAGTATTACGCCCTGGCTTCAAAAATGGTGCCCTCATTCCTACAACTTCGCTTTTGGAAATGTTTGACAAATGTTTCAGAATGTCCCTCATTCCAACCATCTCACCAACCCATTCTTCGTATCCTTTATTTTCTAAACCAGTTTGGAGCCTTGAAGAAAAACAAACAAATCAATAATTGTTAATAAACAAAGCTGCACTTTGTTTATTAACTTTTTATTTATTTTTAATTCATATATGTTGTCCAACATACCGAGTGAAGTGTATGTTGAAGTGTATGCAAATAGACGAAAAATCGTTGATGGTTCAATCCAGAACCTCTTAACATTATTAATTTTAGAGTGAGACAAAGAGAAATTAGGAACGATAATACTATACTCTGTCCATCTAAGCAACAAAGTGATCCAAAACATTATCATGCATAGTGCACGTGATGTCCCAGACAAGGCTGATTGTACAGAGTGCACTAAGAAACAACCGAAATTGTTTTATTATAATAATAATAATGATAATGAGTTGGAGTGTAGGGATACAAATTAGCAGTTTCTTCAGCCGTATCAATACTTGATATTTTGAAAATTTCAAACTTTAAATAACCGTATATGTACACACCACAGGCGTTAAAACGTAACTGCCCACTCGGACCTTGTAGCGATATATGAATTCCGCCAGCCGATTGCAGCTAAATCTGATTGGCCAGCGTAAGGAGGCTTGTTTATTTTACCCAATAGATGCAAATTTACGTGGTGATCACATGGCGATCACGCATCTATCATTGTTTGGGTTACTTTGTTTGTTGATTGGACAGAGTTTTTATTTATTGTACAAACTCATTCAAGAAGTTGGGACTCACTAGTCCAATGTCACGAATTTCAAGAAAGGCTAATGAGTCCGGACTAAATAAATTTTTTGAAACTCGATTGAGCCATTCAAAAGAGTTGTATTTTTTAATAAACATAGGGGGCGACAGCTGGTTAACTGAAAAACATATTTTAACAGAAAACAGACAGATGTTATTAGGAAAACTGTTTTATATTGTTCTTGTATCAAACGTAGTTTTTCCGTTCACACCCATGAATAAATAAATACCATAGTTTCTAAGATGCCTTCGTGACTTGCATTGCATGCTAAATAACATAATCCAATACTATCCAAAAAGCGGAATAAATTAAAAATACGATTCAACCTAGACAAAACATTACAAATAACAAATTTTCCATTTTGAATACTTGGAACATTGTTAAAACATGGAAAACATGACAAAATGGTTCAGACTTTCGCGGTTGAGGTTTTCAGTGTCACTGTTTTTCGAGTTTGAAAGCCGTGGATTTTTGGAATATAGCCCACAAAGTGTATCAAAAACCCACACATACAGATAGATACTTGCACACACTATCGAACCACCATCCTAGCCAAAAGAGAGGAGTCATCTCCACTCTAAGGGAACGGACTCGGAGAATATGTGAACCAGAACATCTTGAGAGGGAACTGAAATACCTTGAAGTGAACTTGACAACGAATGGATACAGTGCCTCCGAGATCAGGAAAACCTTGAAACCACGGTTAAAAAAGCGAAAACGGATCAGATGTTTGCACGCGCATATCTACCGTTTATCCCTAGGGTCACGGACAGAATTGGAAAACTATTGGATAAACACGACATCAAAACAGTCTTCAAATCAACGAGGAAGATACAAAAAAGCCTCAGGTCGGCTAAAGACAAAACAAGAGACCCATTATCAGCAGCAGGGGTCTATCGCATACCGTGCACTTGTGAGAAGGTATATATCGGAACCACCAAACGATCCATGGGAACAAGACTGAAAGAGCATAAAAGGTACTGCAGACTAGGCCAAGCGGACAAGTCAGCTGTGGCAGAGCACGCGCTTAGTGAAGGATACACATAATTTTATTTGAAAACACAGAACTAATTGTCTCCAACCAGGGATATTATAGCCGACTGGTACGGGAGGCAATAGAGATCCACAAACACACGGAGAATTTCAACAGAAAAGAAGACGCGGTGAACCTCAATCGAATATGGAACCCCATTTCAAGGAATTAGAGAATAACGTACAGAATGACAACAGGCAGCAAGATTATTAATGTTTCAGGTTCAAGTATAGGTACAAGTGCGGGTACAAATACAGGTACCAATACAACTGATTACCTGACAAGGCATACGCTTTACGAAGCCTAAAAGTTAGTCATCGGACAGCAAGCCATGATGGTTGAACCTCTGAAGAAGCTAGCCACTCGCGCCAGCGAAACGTCAGGAAGAAATTCCAAAAATCCACAGCTTTCAAACTCGAAAAACAGTGACACATGGAAAACATGTTGGAATATAATGAAGAAAAAAATGTTCAATGCTGTTTCGGCTTCTTTGCAGGCATAGTTACCAAAATTTCAGGGTTTATATTTTTATATCTGAATCCGACTAAAATTCGGCCAGATATTAGAAATCAGTTAGGCTGGTGGCTAACGAAACGCTTCTTAAATAAAATTCATTGTGGAAATCCTATGATTATCAGTATTCATAATTACCATATTTCATCACCTAATTAATTGAACTGTGTGCGCCACTGTCGGTAGAGGGGAAGTCACAGTCTACCGCAGTTCGCGTCTTTTCCCGTAACTTGCGCGCCCCCGAATCTAACGACTTCAACACAATCTGTGTCGTAGATATTGGTTTACTGAGTCTATTTATTTTTTGACGTCCATGGAAATAGACGCCAGACACAGTGATACCAAATCAACAAAGTCTTCTTATAAATACATATTGATTTTTGAATAAATGAAGTTTTAGCATCAAACTTACTATACATAGCGTCCTATATTGTATTATTCATAATTATTTTCAATTAATGAACGTGTGCCAGAGAAATAGTCTGTTGCAATGTTTTATTATAGCATTTTCGAAGTTGGCTTTAGGTTCGAGGTTAGGAACACAGCAGGGTGTGAAGCCTCATAAGTTTTAAAAATATCAATTTAATTTAATGAATATCAATTTATCTATCTGACATTCAGAATGCCAATTAAATATATCTTTGAAAACACAAGTAATAACTGCCACCCTCATAAGTTAGTTCAAATTCTGAGCACCAAGAACGTTTCCCGTCGAGAGACTTCGAAACAAGACAAAAATATTCTCTAGTCTAGTCGAAAGGATGCATTTTCTTGTCTTGTCTCTTCTTCAAATGTCGACAGTCATCAGACTTACTCCACTCTTTCATTTTGTTGATCTGAATGAATTGAAAATGAAATATATAAACTGATTCAACTAGATTCAAACCTAACCGATCACAATTACAGAAACTGGATTGTATTCTTGTTACTTCGGGCAAAGATCGTGCGGACGCATTTTCACATTCCTATTTTAACTTATTATCATTCAGGTACAGCCTTCCACTTGAAATTCGAACCACACGATTTCGATACGAAGGGTCAAGATTACGTCTTGTAATGTAAACAAATACTCACGATATTGTTTCTGTTCCAATCTCATGGCCTTCGCTAGCAAGTTCTTGAATCATGTGGTAATTGCTATATTCGTGAGAAATGAAGAAGGTACCTTTAATTTCACATCCATTTGGGTTCTTCCTCTTATGGTTGAACACTTTTCTGTAATGATCGTAGTTATTCAAATTAACGGCACCGTCCAACGTTAGTACAATCATTTGAGGTATCTGAAAACGGTAAAGGATCCAATATTTGGGTGCAATGTTGTTACTAAATATAAATTCACCCACCGGAAATTTAACGGCATGGAGAAACAGTGATAAAAAGATAATTTTGTTTTATGGGCGTGCCTATTTTCCCTGTAGCTGGCGCCCCAGGGTAAAAATGTTTAAAAATCCTTTCTACCTACATACAAAATTTCAGCCTTCGAAAATATGCCACTATGGAGAGGTAACTTTACTTTATGAACGCGCGTTTTTCCACCGCGGATGATACTCCAGTTGGAAAATTCATAAATTCTTTTTTATTGCACATCTATAACATAAAACGAACCTACATACAAAATTTCAGCCTCCGAAAATAAAGCGATACAGAAAAACAGTGATGAAAAGTTAATTTTCATATATAAACGCGCCCCTTTTATCCCCAGGGGGTGCGCCCCAGTTGGAATATTCAAAAATATTTTCTTGTGCATCTTAGACTTGAGAAGCACCTACACACCAAATTTCAACTTCCTATAACTCACCAGTACGGAGAAACAGAGATGAATGAGTGTTTATAACTATAGATTATTTTAAATCATCTAGAAAAACAATTCGTTCAGGCCAATCTTAACTTCCTACACTGTAGGCAAGTACTCCCCTGGCTGATACCACGAAGGGCGTTGGATTATATCCGACAGGTGTCAGTGTAGGATTCATCACTGAAGTTATTCCTGCATATGCTGTTGGCGATACAACTGCCGCAATAGATTTTCACTTAGTGGAACACGCTTGCAAAACCGGTTTCGGGCTGTTTGGCCACTCGTCAGGGCAAGGTAGTGTCTATCATCTTACATGAAGACGATTATTTCCGATAATTGAAAATCGAATTCCTTCAGAGTGTCATTCCTCGAACTAGGCTGAAGCGGACAACAAACAACAAGTTTGTCATCGCCCCATCGTGCCAAGTATGCCCAATGACTATATGTCAAGAGATATTTTGCTTATTTCAATAATAAAAGTTAAAAATTATTCAAATATCGAAAAAGTATGTTGAAGAAAAAATGTTGTTGAATTATTATCGTTTCGCAACTGACAATGGCAGTAATTGACGCTACGTATAATTTTTCACAGTATTTGTTAATAAATCATTTATAAACGAACAGGCAAGTCTAGTATCTATATATGAAAAATATACCATTTCATTATCATGAAAACAGAAACAATTTTGAAAGAAAAAATGTTCTCATATTTTTTCATTATTTATATAGTTTTTTTTATTTTATAATTTTTCAAATAATTAGTCATATTCGTCATTCCTCAGCAGATATTTTTTTAATTTCATTCTGTCCACAGTAAATCAACATACCCTTCACACACTTGCGGTCGGTAAATTGAACATTGCGGCACCTGATACCATAATGTGTTACCCAGCATCACTTTTTATTTTTGAAAGCAATGATGTTTTATTTTTCACTTTTGACCGGTTCTCATTCAAAAATAATAACAAGAAATTCCACTGAAATCTGTACAAAATGTACAGAGTGGGCCAAATTGGACACTTTCAAAGGAAAACTCCTGTTTTCAAACTAGATAGATGAAAACTGATGACTCAATGGTGGAAACCGCATATCGATATCAATCATCGTTTCTGAGTTACAGCATGTTTTTCGAAAATGTGCATTTTAGAAAAGTTGCTGTAACTTTTTTCTGTTGAAAATTTCTCGTTCCTATGGAAACATTTCCTGAGCACTTTTCACATATAATTCAATGGTGTGAAAAACCTATATACCTGCATATTTCAAAATGTAGCACACTTGATGTTTTGCTAGAGTCATCTTTGAAACACAGAGCTTTCAGGTTTTTTTTATGTAGACTTTGAAATGCACACTTTGATCAAATACTTGTAGGCTTTGGACGATGCGACGATAAAACAGAATGCAAATCTTTACTGGTAGCTCAACATACCCTTCACACACTTGCGGTCGGTAAATTGAACATTGCGGCACCTGATACCATAATGTGTTACCCAGCATCACTTTTTATTTTTGAAAGTAATGATGTTTTATTTTTTACTTTTGACCAGTTCTCATTCAAAAATAATAACAAAAAATTCCACTGAAATCTGTACAAAATGTACAGAGCGGGCCAAATTGGACACTTTCAAAGGAAAACTCCTGTTTTCAAACTAGATAGATGAAAACTGATCACTCAATGGTGGAAATCGCATATCGATATCAATCATCGTTTCTGAGTTACAGCATGTTTTTCGAGAATGTGCATTTTAGAAAAGTTGCTGTAACTTTTTTTCTATTGAAAATTTCTCGTTCCTATGGAAACATTTCCTGAGCACTTTATATACCTGCATATTTTAAAATGTAGCACGCACTTGATGTTTTGCTAGAGTCATCTTTGAAACACAGAGCTTTCAGGTTTTTTTATGTAGACTTTGAAATACACATTTAAATCAAATACTTGTAGGATTTGGACGATGCGACGATAAAACAGAATGCAAATCTTTACTGGTAGCTGTCAAATTTTGAATCAAGCAGTAAAGACGCTATTCAATTAGTGATTTATGTTCAATTTTCAAACATATTCGCAACAAAGTATGAGAATTATGAAAAATGGGATATGATACAAACCGAAAAAAAAAGCAGAAGCAGCATACAAGCAATTATACGAGAACTTAATTAATGGTGGTCGATTTGAAAAGGTCAAAATTATATGAATCAACTGGGAACAAGGAGTTGGAAGAAATAGTCGTTTTAGGAGCTGTTGAAATTTATTCCAAAACATTAACATGAAATTTGAAAATATCAACAAGCCTACCAAAAACTGACGTTAGGAGGATTTCAAAAAAACACAAATTCAAGCCATACAGGACCAGAAGAGTTCATCAACTCAGACCAGGAGATTTTGAACGCCGCATGACTTTTTGCAAGTGGTTCCTGGAAAGTTGTAACCAAGTGCGTGATTTTTCGATAGATAAATTGTATTTGGACAGACGAAGCGTATGTGAGCAGTGCCGGCATTTTCCACCGCTACATATCTTATACTTGGGCACAACAAAATCCTCATTCTATGATGGAGCAGAGAAGTCAAGGAAGTTTTGGATTTATTGTGTGGACAGGTGTTTTCAAGGGTAGAAATTCATCGGCTCGTTCATTTATGATGGCACTCTCACATCCCAGAGGTATTTGGAAATTTTAAGGCAAAATATTGAACCACTTGTTGATGCAAAGTTTTTCATCACTGAACAACTTCTTTATGTTGATCAAAGTGTGCGTTTCAAAGTCTACATGAAAAAACTTAAAATCTCTGCATTTTAAAACATCAAGTGTGCTACATTTTTGATAAGGTAGTTTTGAGCTCTAGTGAAATATGCAGGAATATATAGGGTGTCTCATTAAAAAATAGTTTTCCATCAATAACTACTGATAACTCATTTAAAAAAATAAGTTTTATATACCATTGCATTGTACGTAAAAAAGTGGCAGCAACTTTTCGAAAACGCACATTTTCGAAAACCATCATATCAATATGCGGTTTTCACCATCAAGACACAGATATTAGTTTTCATCTATCTAGTTTCAAAATAGGAGTTTTCCTTCAAAAGTGTCCAATTTACCCCTTTCTGTACAAGCTTGGTCATATTGTTGAGAACTAATATTCATTGGACTCTTTAGCAAACCTTAGAAGAATGTCATGTATGTATATTATGCTATTTAGGTTCAATAAAATTAATGATTTTTATTTCATTTGGACCACTGGTCCTATACCTATTAACGCAGTTTAGGCTCTTTCACTTGTAAAATAAAATTTTCTACCAAAAGTAGTAAATGAGAAATAATAAAAAACCATGGGAATTGATACTATTATTTCAAACTGCTAATTAAAATTTGAAATTTATATTATTCGTAAAATATTATGAAGACAGAATGAGGTGGAATGTTATGCGATACATGTCTATTAGGTTTTATTATAGTAGGTACACGTTATAATTTCATCGACATTTCCGTATTTTTTATGCCTTATAACTTGTTGAATAATGCAGATATAGTAGATTCGTTCATTGATAAAATATATGTCAAATTGTCTTTCTGTTGTATCCATATCTCCTGTAGTTTAAAAGTTTGAATTATATACCTGTTTCAATCATTATTTATTATACTCGTGTTTTGTTCTATACCAGATATCGACTTTTTATCGCATTATGTTTTTTGTCATTATGTTATGCCATAATTTTGTTTCCTATATATCGAAATGATTTAAAAAAAATCAACTCTGATAGTGAACAAAGGTCACTTTATTCTTGAGAGAAGTGACCATATGAAATATGAGAAATTATAAGATTTTACATTTTATCGTAGGATCCTAGCACGGTGAAAAATGATTATTTATTCTCCATTTTGACGTTGGTAGTCTTGATAGTTATTATGTATGGATTTTTAAATGTCGGCCAAGGTGAGTAAAACTTAATGGTTTGCTACAAAAACAAAATCATGAACTTTTATCACTATTTTCATAGTTATTGAAAAGTCGGAAATCTATACATTGTATGTTCATATTTGATATCGATACTCACTTCTTCTGGATCTAAATTTCCCGGTACAATTGTGCCGTCCTTCGAACAAAAACAATAAGGCAATTGACATTTCGCTGGATCGCATTTCGTTGCTAGATCTGTTGGAGTTTCTGTGACTGGAGATGGCGCTGCAAAAGGAAAGGAAAATTGCTAGTTACATATTTTGCAAATAATTGAAGATTTGAAACATTTTTCACAATTTGCATTGTATAAAAATATTGAATACAAGAGACTTAATATGGTCAAGTTTTTCGTTATTTTCATTAACTTCAGTTATTACTAGCCGCTGCCCGCGACTTCGTTTACGTGGACTTCGGATTTTGAATTTTTACAGATTTCCTAACAGCAAAAAGTTGTTACATATATTATTATCTTTGATTTATAAGAAAATCGCTTTACAAATACAAAAACTCTAGATATGGTTAATCATAATTTCAGCCAAATCAACTGAACAGTATTTCTTGAGTCATCGCCCACTTAATTTGTTTCTGTTGTGATATTCGTTTATTTTTATTTCTATTTTTTGAACTTAAAAGTAAAGAATCTCTTTTCGCACAGATGAACGGACAGTGTCTACTGTTCAAATGTCATATTTTAAATTCAAAAATTTCAAATGTGAGTTATTGTGATTTTCTTTTTCGGTTTTGAAAACGGAAAAGGGTTATTTTCCGAGACGTCCATTAAATATTCAATTTGTAGGCAAAATTTATGAATTTGACAAGTTACTAAATTGGATTTTTCAGTGATTTATATCACACAGTAACTTTTCAGAATATAGATTCTGTCAAAGAATAGAATAATCTTTGCAGATTTTTAACCTCTAAAAAGTAAAGATAGGTATCAATAAAATGTTTAGCTCCATTTGCTTGCAAAATTTATAAAATACCTATCTATTTTGTGATAGATATTTCGAATTTACTTGATGGTTATGAAGTATAAAGTTCCCAATTCAAACTACGGAAAGTGAAAATACCCAAAAATGTTAATAAAGTCACTAATTTCCTTCTCTTTTTGTTTAATATCACACAAAGTTCAAAATATGTCATTATCACTCTCATTATTTTTCTGAATGTTTTTTCCAGTTCGTCTTTAGAAAAAGCAATTAAATAGATGTTGATTTCAGTATTTCATGAAATTGAATAAATTAAAAATGAACTATTTTGATAGTTTTATGGTAAATGAAAGCTATGATAAATTAATTTGATTTTTTGTCCTATTCCGTATGACATTCAACATTAGAGTACTTACATATGCAATAAGACAGGGACGTTTTTGCTTCAAAATATGTTGTTTCTCGATAATTTTTCTAGATTATTATAAAATGGTTTTACCATGTTTGGTGATTAGCGAGATTGCCAATATCTATGTTGCTGAAGAATTCGGTAATGAGACATATACAGCAAAAATAATAATGATCACAGCAGTCGATGCATTCGAAAAAAGGTGGAAGTGGAATTTCCGGCACAGAACAAATTCGACAGAAGTGTAGTTCATTTCCTGATGACGTCATCAGGTTGGTGAAACGCATTTTTAGATTTTTAGAGTTTTGATGTATAAAAGAAGTGTTTGTTTTGGGAAAGGAATACTATCAAAAGGAAATGAAAGTAATTTGAAAATTGTATGATTCATCTTCAACACTACTAATTAAACTTATGTAAGGTACTGACTTAATCATTCCAGTTGACTATTGTATGATATTGAATTTACGTGAATTTATTTGATGAAAACAACTAGTCTTTATTCTATCCGAATAGATTACATACCATCGTTTATAAAAAGGAAATGTGTGTACTTTTCTAACGCACCAAAAATCGGTTGCTGTTCACCTTGAAACACATTGAGACTTTCAAGATAAATAATTAACTGCATTCAATGAAATGAATTTAACACTTGTTCAGAAAAACATAACGCTCTGGGGGACAAACAATGTGTTTTACTGAGTTTTTAGCATTTATTCAAGAGGAAGTTCAAACTGAAGGTAATCACTTGGTGATCACCTTCAGTGATAACGGTTTGGTGTTGGTATAAAACTCCAGTAATATTCATTTTCAATTATGCTTTTTATCGTAGTATTTTAACTTCAACTTTAAATTCACGGATTGAATATTTATTAATTTTTCTCACCTGATAAAATCGTTTACATGTTGCCGGGTCCGCATAATTTCCATTTCCAGTGCTCTGGGGACATTCGAATTCTTTGCCATCAGCTTTACCTTTTTTTTGGTCGTTTTGGCTTGTAACTGTAAAGAACTATGGATAAATCAATTTAAACTATACAAAATAATCGAAAATATTATATTTGTTATTGATACTGAAGTTTTTGGTCGACTCAAAAAAGGTAATCACATATCGAGTATCCAGTAATATTACTCTAGTCGAATTGCAACATATAAATACGCGAAGTAACAGTTGGGAATTGGTATATAATTCATTTCCGGATGACGCAAAAAAGTGTTGTACTTCTGAATAGTAAAAGAACAAATAAAACTTGCTTGGGAAGCTTTTCTTATAATGCAGATGATGTTACAGCAAAATCGTTGTTTACTCATCTGTTTACTGTGAAGAAAAAGCCTCATACAATCTAAACTTTGATAATTCTAGTATGACAAATGACTCTTTCCAAATACATGCAAGAACTAAATCTAACTATGATGAATCTGTCGAAAAACTAAAACCCAAAAAAGCTGCGGGAAGCTCCTTACATATTGAAGGGCGGTTATGAATGGTTAAGATGTCCACTACTCTATATTTTTAATTTGATAGCTGAAAATATTTTTCCTGAATTTTAGAAAACATATATTACCATAACTATATTCAAATCAGGGAATGAATATGCGCTCCGTCTAGGTTATTGGAGTAAATTATATATTCGAAACTGTATAAATTCGCTAATAAATACATAGCACCTGAACAGCATGGCTTTATGACCTGAAAGTCATTAAATACTAATTCATTTATTTTCTGTAATCGAGCTTTCGAAACTCAAACCAAATCTCCGTGAATACACGGACTTCCGTAAAGCTTTTGATCAAGTAAATCATAATGTGCTTTTGTTAAAAATATTTTAATTTTGCTTGACGAGGAATTTTCTTGTATTAATTAAAAATTACTTGAGGAATAGATTTTTCATTGTTAAACATAATGGAA